AGAACATTTAGATGTCATAACTAATTATGATGTTTACAACTTGATTATGAAAATAAATAATTTACGAACAGAAAATGACAAAAGAGTGTAATGACCAATATATCAAAATTCAATTTGTTATGATTTGAATCATAGATTTCAAGTGAACAAACCTTAACGACAATATAATTTGTTTCTGCAGGTGTTGCTGTGGGTAATAGTTGATATGATTGAGCGGGTGATATTGGGAGCTAAACTAAGATTTTTTTTAAATTTTTTTTTTGAGGACTTAAATCTGTTAGTATTTTGTATAAATACTCTTAAATGATGGTTGATGGATATTTGTTTTGCTATATGGAAGTTCATATTTTGTATGCACACTTCTTTTTTTTTCTTGAAGAAAGAATTTTGTAAGGAATTATCATTCACCAAATGAGGTTGTAAGAAATCCTACACTACCTTGCAGTAGTAACTCGCTTTTCAATATTGTTGATCTTCCGTCGAGGTTCATCAAAAGAGTTGAATTGAATAAATAGTTGTATGGACTTGACGAAGACTAGAAGAAAAACTCTGCAATATTATTTGGATGTGATTGATGGTATAAATGGAAAGAATAATTCTGTTTCTACGTAAAATATTTTTTTTAATGCATCGATTTTATATAGAAAAATATTATTTTTATTTTTCGGCATTTGGTTGACACTTAAAATAAAAATATTTTATTACTTAATTTAGAAATTTTGATTTAATAAAGTGTAATTCATGACTTTTTAGTGAGTTAATATATTTATTTGAAAAAGGTGTTGAAAAAATAGTGAGCGAGAATCAATTTTATAAAAATTAACTTACGAAATTTTAAAAGGTAAGTCATTTTTTTTTAAAAATGATACAAAAATATTTTGCTTAAAAAATATTTTACTTACTTTTTATTTAGTCAAATAACAAACAAATATTTAAACGTTTTACGTTAAAATAAAGGGAACCTAAATTACCAGCTACTTCCATATCTCTATGTAAGCCCCCATATCTTATCCAAATAAGATTGTGATTCACGTTATCATATGTATAGATCTAATTTAATTTATAATTTATTAGAATTCATAAAACTATAATTTATTAGAGATTAAGAAAAACGAATGTTCAAGTTTTCAACCCAACTACCACTGCCTACATTGTCAACCACATGGCAAAGGAGTGAATTTATTTAAACAATTTAAAGTAATGATAGGGATCAAAAAAATGGTTATGAAAGATTCTTTGTCGTTATATCACATATATAATAAAATATCTCACATTAATCAAAGAACGAAAAAATTTTATAAAATATTTTATGATATTTTTTCGTGATTTCTAATATTTTTTTTTTATTAGTTGAATTAAAAGAGTGTTCCCATAAATAATGTAAAATTAACTAACGGGATATTGAATTAGGAGAGTAGTCCAATAAATAATGTGAAATTAACTAATGAGAGAGTTAGGGGTGTAAATCTGGCCCCCAGCCCATGTTGTGCAGTAGGAAATATCTATGCCAAACTCACCCTCTTATGTCTCAATTTAACGTTCTTTTTTGAAAATCCTTTTGGTTGACAAATTAAGCTGCTAAGGCTCCATTTATTTATTATTTATTTTAAATGTTTAAAAAGTCATCAACAAATGAAAGGAAAACATCACAAGAAACAAGCATTAATCATCAACAAATGGTAGGTTATTCATGCAATCAGACATATCAGTGAGCTACCAACCAGGTGGGGTATGTGATGTAATTTGGCAATGTTCTTCAATTCAATTCAATAGCTAAGTTTGGCAATGTTATAATTTGGCATGAGCATTGACAGACCATATAGCGATCCCGGTTTTTCCTTCCTTTGTATACTGTATTCTGGACTTGGTTTCGTGGACTTGTTTTTGTATCATTATCACTTCTAGCCTTTACTCTTTGTATTAGAGTCTTAGGTTGTGATGGGCAGGTTTGAAACAGGTTGGTTGCACTTTGAAACCAAAAGGTGATGCCCAGATTTTGGCCTTCACGCTCGAGCGGAAGTTTTAACGCTCGAGCGGGCTCTTCGTTGTTGCTTATACGCTCGAGTGGGAGTTTTGACGCTCGAGCGTGTTTTTCCATCTCCCAGTACTTTACTCTGCAATCCCTCCGCTCGAGCGGAGAGTTTGGCGCTCGAGCGGGTACCATCGTCTGCAAAACTTCTGGAAGTGTGCAATCGACGCTCGAGCGGCTCTTTTCACGATCGAGCGTGAGTCTGTGTCTGACGCTCGAGCCGGGATTTTCACGCTCGAGCAGGGAGTCGACTACATAAATCCGAGACCCGGCTTTCTGGGTCATTTTTCATCTCCCTTTTGATTCTAAAACCTTAGAACCGTCTTCTCCCTCTCCCTACACACCTTCTCTCTTAGGTTTGATCTACTTAGAGTGTATTTCTACCCTAAGTTCTTTGTTAAAAAGATAGAGTGAGTCGAGGGCTTCCATTTAATCTGAACGTTTGGTGGTTTGGAGCACATTGGAATTTGGGTCTTCATCTCCGTCTTCTCCATTCGGGTTATTTTCTTCGAGGTAGGGATTTCCTACTCCATCTTATAAGTTTTGTTCTAAGTTTTGGTATTGTGATATGTTGGGGGTACTTTGGTAATTTTGGGAAAAACCCTAGTTGTATTAATAAATTAATTTGTATAATTAATTTAAGGAAATTGGGGAATTTGGTTTAATTCATGAAATTGAGGAATTCACTGATTAAATGGTGTAGTTGGATAACTTAAATCACTCGCCTATTTAAATGTTGATATATTTATTTCCAGTCTAGAAATAACTGTTTTGGGCTATCGGTGGAGGATGGTCGTATTTGTTGTAGACATTGCATGTGGATTAGGGAAAATTGAAACTAATCAATTTGTTTAAGTCATAAATTTAGACTATTGAATTAATACAGAAATACATGTATTGATTGAGCATTGCATATGCCATATTGTTTGGGGAGGAGAATAGGGATGGACCTTAAGGAATCTCCATTAGCATCACTATTTATGTGTGATTATTATATTGAAGTCTTTTTACATTCATTGATACAGCACTAAAATGTGTATCAAACGGGAAGTATGAAGTGTTTTGATATGAGCTCTAAGTCTCATTTGTTTGATTGATATTGGAGTAATGTGAATATAAATATATAGTTCACTGTTGTAAGTTTGGCCAGGTTCTGAGCCATATTGAAATAGTCAAAAAGTGAAACGTGCATAGACATTTAGTGTCAGAGACTGTATAATGATGTAATTTGATTATCTCAGTAACCATCTATTGGATGCTATTGCTTTATTCAATGCTTATATTTGGTTTAGTATTTTTCTACTGGGCTGTGGCTCCACCCTTTATGAACATCATTTTCAGGTTCAGGTGTATAAGCTACCTCCACAGGACTTAGCTTGGAGGATTTGGCTTTTTGGATTTTTGAAGACTAGTTAATGTTTTTTTTTTTTTATTGATAGTCATGTAAACATTCAAGCTAGGGCTTTACTTTATTTTGAGTTAGAACTCATATTTTTGTGTCCAAGTGTTGGCTAGGAAAGATGTTAGCCCGTAGGGCATTTAATTTGATGTTACATGTTGATGTTTTATTTAGTAATACTCTAATGAATGAATTAATGAATTGTTTCTTTAAATATTTGCTTCAATGATAATACATAATGGGTTTATTTTGAGGGCGTTACAGACCATTTGGAGTGAGAGTTTTAGAGAGGTCTTTGTTATAATTTGACTTTGGCTGCTGTAATAGCATCCCACTGCGTAATGCTTGTAATACCTGTTTTGGTCTATTAACACAATTTCCCCCAACAATGGTGAGGGAACCCGTCCCAAAAATATTAAGAATATATATATATATATATTATCATAACTAAGCAAAAATATTAGTGTTCTTGATATCTAAATAAAAGATAAGACACATCTGAAAAAATAAAAAACTATAAGATAAGACCCATTATCACATAAGATGATATCCAAAGAGGCAATCATCAACCTAAAAAAGAATAACAGCCAAAATGTAGTGGTTTGCTTTCATTGCCTCCCGTCTTGTCCTGGTAAATTCCCAGGAAAGAAAATGATATAATGTACAAAATGAATACACAAAAAACACACAAAATGGTTGTAAGACAGCTTGTTCAACCTAAATATACTTGAGCAACAAACAGACTCATTGATTTGCACTTGAAAATTTCAATAAAAATTAAGCTACTTTATAATTGGTATTTTTAAAAATATTCTTTTTCTTTCCACAAAAAAAAAAAAAAAGAAGCAAAATTTTAGCTATTAAAAGCAATAAAATAAACTTTCAAAAAGGTAAACCAAAATCACGGATTCTTCCATTTTAAAGATTCTGTTGAATAGTAAAAAGCAGTCAAGGTCTTGAAAACTTGTGGGATGGATGGCCAGAAAAAAAAAAATTTGAATAGTAGGGAATGGATAAAAGGCAGAGCATAATAGATGCACCAACCATCTCAAAGGGCTTCTCATATTCCTGTCGTGGCTGCTCCTAGACCCGCAAGAAGCCTACAACAATGCCATCTCAAAGCACTTAGTAAAGTAAAACAAAAACGAATGATAAAGGATGTAGCAAAAAAATTGTATCTTTAACTGAGCAAACTCATATTTGTTTGTACAACAACTATCCCAGAGAAGTAGACAAGATGAAGGTACAAAAATTATTAAGAATAATTTGACAAATTGGAAAAGTCAACACCCCTTGGCTACATTACAAATCTGAAAAATCTGGACAGATTTCACAACGTTTTTGAAAAACGTCATAAAAAAAAACGTCGTTGTGTCCTCTTTTTCTTGTAGTGTCTTTTACCCTATAAATAGTGGTTGACACTATCTTAATAAAATGACCAACAAAGTCAGTATGAAGTTGGCAATGATGTATTGATAATGCCTCCATCCATTCCAAACATCAATAAGATTTGCAAAACTCATGCTAGTTTAAGTTTTTCAAAACAGACATACCATCATAGGTCTTACTAACAAAATCTAATTTCCAGCTCATGTTAGCCTCTACTTCCATTTCAATTCACCCCTAGCTCTGAGTTCTACACAAGATAGCACACTTGAGAATATAATTTTATAACAAAGGTTGAGTTATAAACTCAAAGTTCACGAGTTTAAGAAATGCGATAACGTCATTGATTGTACGAACTTATGAAAAATAAAAAAGAATAGAGCATCACCAGCTTTATATTGCGCGATATCACCAACAATAGGAGCTGAATTATGCTTGTATATCACAAGATCAAGTAACAAGCGAGCCCTATGCAAATAGTCAAACTACATGCCAAAAGTAGTGAGTACGTAAAAACATCACACATTATAAAATTAGTCTTCATAAAACATAAGATACTGATAAGTGGACAGTTGGGTATAAATGTAAGTACCTTGATTACACCCGAAGGCAAAGGTTTCCCTTGCATATATTTGATGACGAAAAGACCACAATCATAGCTATAGGAATGAGTGTAGTTGTAACAATAGAGTCAACGAACTTAGAGATTATAACATTAATGCTTATTTAAAAATCAAGAACGATAATGTAGTGTATTACTTGTTGTCTTGGCGTGGCATGTCTTCCAACCATTGAAATGCAAACGAACTAACATCTTGAACGTAATCTTCTCCATGCGCATATTGAAGCAGCTTATGCAATGATTGTACCTGTTGGTGGTAGGTAGTAAGGTACATAGATCAAGAAACAAAAAAGTGGATACAAGTGGGGTATCATAATGGTTATTCTATTACCAATAATGTAGCTTGATTTTTTCGATCCTCATCGGTGCCAATACATCTGCTGGAGTCGAATAGATAGGCAACCCGTTTTTCCATGTTTACATTCAAGCAAGTAATACTCTGATGAATGAATTAATAAATTGTCTTCTTTAAATAATGCATGTCAATGATATGTAATGGGTTAATTTTGAGGGCGTGACATTCCCCATGGTTGAAGGGCATGTAAATCTAAAAATATAACGTCGAATGTACATGCAAAAAATAAGTAAATACATAACATGGATCAAATGTTATTGTGCATGGTAAATTTGGAAATTGGGTAATAGTAGCATTTTATCATGTTACCTCCTCACAAGCATGAAGGGGGCCAGTGTATCTGTAAATTCCAAAATAATCTTCTATTATATCTTTCATTGTGTCATCAGAAGGTTGACACAAAATCTTTTGCTGCATATTCAATTTTAACATATAAATAACTTGTGCCTAAATAAAAAAAGTCTTTAGGTATGGCTAATACTTACCGATACATGGGTCAGAAAGTACCAAACCTTGTGATCCTTATTTGGAAACTTTTTCCTTTGTTTATTTGTCAAATTCACAACAATGAGATTTATAATCTGCAGTGCAAAATATATGAAATTTATGAATAGGCAAAGTAAAGTAACTTGGATGATGGAATGGTAGCAAATAAAATAGGAGAAGGAGAAAAGTCTTACACATGAGGATATCCACTGATATGGTTTCAAGGGCCACAATTCCTTCCGCGTTGCAGATTGTGCTTCCACGTAGTGCAGTTTCATCCGTACAAGATATTCCCTAGCACATGGATAACTATGTGAGCTAGAAGGTATAGTACTTCATACATAACAAGTTAAAGGTAGTCAAATTGTACCCTTCTGAAAGAGATTTATCAAATGCATATCGTAGAATGAGACTATCATAGTCATTTAATGGGTCTGGCAAAGGCACGGATGACTTGTAAAGGTATTGAGAAGAATAGTGCATAAAACAAATCAAGCTTAGTTAGTGTATGTTCATGAAGATGGAGTTAGCGCAAAATAACCACATATACAAAAGATACTATAATCGTTAGTTCCAAACCTTTGGGATTTCAGGAACAACATTACCCCCAAGTTGATGAAGTAAATTATCAAATAGCTGATACAAGTAAAAGAAAAGTAAGAAACAAACACTATTTGTTACACATATATCAAATATGTTTTGAGACACAATCATTTAGTTTACTTGATCGAGATTGTCATGAATATTATTGTCAACGTTGTTGTTAGTTGACGATGGCTTCAACTGTGGTCTTTTCTTCATTACATCAAATTTCACAAAAGCTGTACGCAACCACTGACTGGCTTTGCAATTTTGGGTCCCTCGAGTCTGAGGACCACGAACAACACTACATGATGATGACATTGTTACAGCATTCACTCCAACTGCCTTTGTATCGCTCTTTTTTGCGCGCGATCACCCCTTTTGTGGAATAGGAAGTTGTTCATTATTTAATGCTTTCCCACCAACCAATTTGGCTCGTTTCTTTGCAACTGCCTTTGCATTTGGTGGTGTGAGGATTGGTTTTGTTTTTCTTAAACACAAAGTTTCCATTGGTTTTTTGTCATTCATATTCCTTATCTCATTCTCATCTACAAACTTCGGGGAATTGGCTGCAACCTTTTCGATACCACTATCATCGAGACCAACCATTTCAATGTCAATTCGATGCTCCTCACGTAGTTTTCTTGGTGGTGTTTTAACATGTCCGCCATCAAATGGAATGCGTCGTTCTAACAACTCAAGAATTTGACCAACTTGGTTCTCCATTTTGACCAGTCGCTGCTTCACAAGTAGTTTGCTTGGTGGTGTTTTAACTTGTTCTCCATCAACTGGCATGTGTTTTTCTAACATCTCAAGAATTTTTTCAACTTGATTCTCCACTTTGGTTAGATGCTTCTCATTCTCATCTTGCCTTGTGTCCTTGTGTCCTTGTGGCCTTGGACCAAAAAGGTATGAATTTCAATGACTTGTTTCTCAACTTTAGCCAATCGGGAGTCATCATTCTTGTCAATTCTTCCCTGGCTAAGAGTTACTACATTGGACTTTTCAACAACGTTAGGCAAAGCCACCTATTCACACATATACAATAACTTGTTAATGTCACAGGTGTAATGTAAATTGAGCTATAATTATAAAAAGTCATGTGTTGTAAATATTTACCTTAACATTTAAATATCCTCCCAAAGCTTTAATTTGATTTAAGCCCTGCTTAATTTCTGAATTGCCCCAATAGGACAAGTGAGGAATGGAGTTGGAAGTAGCCACCAACTCCCTTTTGCGAGCAAATTGTTCCAAGTAAAATAACTACATGGGAAAAAAAAAGAAAAAAAAGAAGTCATTTTAATGTGTGTTAGACAGTATGCAATAAAAAATAATAGATGAAATAATTACACATCAAGGGGAAGTACCATTAGAAGAAGCAAACAGCCGCACATAGCAGACCGCTCTTTGACCTTGGCAATAGCAATGCGGTCGACAAGAAAATCAAGTGTGTGCTTTGCCCAATTGAATTGACTGATGGACTCAACATTTTTAACCATTTGAATGAATGATTGGTGTACGCCTACCTTTGTGGTGGGGCACAAGAGGGCTCCAATGATGTATAAGACAAATTTCCTTTTAAATTCAGTTCCAGCATCTTTTGTTTCAAGTAGATAAGATTTCAGAGATGTGAACGGAACAAATTTATTCTTCACCGCAAGTTCATCACATAGGTTTGTAATTTCATCTACGGACTCTGTTAGCTTCACAGGTAGACCATTGGAAGGTAATCCCATCAACTCATGAACATCTTCTATGGTGAGAAGCATTCGAAGACCGTGGACATTCAATGAATGAGTTGAAGGATCAAAGTTCTGAACTAACCAATGGCACAAGTCATGATCTATGTGCGTGCACCTAAGGCTTAGGATGCCATGAAACCCCATATCAGTCACTGCTTGTTGTTGTGTTTTGTCCAACCTTCTAATAATCTTACAAATTGATGTAAGCTCAATCCGGGTTTGAATTTTTACTTTTGGAGACTTTTGTTGGACCACAGTTTTTAATTGGGCATATTGTTCAGATTGCAGCTTTCCCATTTGTATATGCTTATTTTTTCTTCTTCAGGAAGTTGATTCCATTTCTCCCCAATATCCTACATTACATGCATAAAATCATATGAACAATTACATACAAGCTTACAAGTACAAAATGAATACTACAAACAACAAGAATACGTTGCACTTACCTTCACGTCTACTTTCATTTGGGTTTTTTTTAACTCCATTGATTGTTCTTGGCTATAAACATATGAAAATGAATATAAGAATTCGTATAATGGAAAATATATAACTACATACAAATAGATATTAACGAAATACCAAAAGAAAATGAATGGAGTGATCGGGCGCTTTGGAGGATCAGTCAGTTTATCCATTAGGCTTCAATCAGAATTCCTTGTAAAGAAAGACAAGAAAAATAAACTCATAATATCTTTGATTAGGAAAAAAAACAAACAAACAAAAATCTTAAAGGTTATAGTACATTCATCAAATGCACGACATGCACACATGAATGGATTTGTTTTATAATAATGTAGTTAACAAAGACTATGTTTCCAATGTAAAAAGGAAAGACACTAAAAAAAATTCTAATCATAAACAAAAAATGATACCCCAGTAGCTTAGGTCACATTACCATAAAAAATAGACTAAAGAAGTTAATTTTTTTGAACAAAATTTGTAATTTGGTAAGGAAATTTTTTTGTCGCAAAAAGGAGCCAAATATTTTAGCACCATACGAATTGATAATAAAAACGACATTGTTTTTTATTTTATTTTTGGGACTATTGTAGAAAAAAAATAAAAAACGATGTCATGGTTATGTATAGCTCCTTTGCTCCTTCAAGTCTCACTTTAGGTATACAGTCAGAAGGTTGAATATCTTTATTAACTGGTTTTACTTGCTTTGGTTTTAGCTATGTTGTGGTTCACTTTCCCATATTTTATCTTGCTAATTTTTTTTTTTATTCTCTGCATGGGTTTGGGAATGGCTTGAACCACATAAAGCACTTGAAAATTATAAATGTTTAGGAAAGCAATTTGTTTTTTAGAATACAAAATACAAGAAATATTAATGCTATGCTTATTATTTGATTTTATTATTTATATTTATTCTGTCATTGATACTTTAGATTCATAATAGATAATACTAATATATGAGCACTACTACAAAATTGGTTAAAGGTCAATTTTTAACTTTGACCTTATACTTTTAGTCTTAGTTTTTTTTTTAATACAAAAACTGTGATGAATGAGGGTGTGACTGTACAAGTTATATCATAAATATTTTGCTTTTTAATTTGGCCATCACGCATACCATATAATTTAAATATATTGAAGCATAGAGGACCTTGTAGGAAAAAATATGTACCTGTCGAAGAAGTAGTTCAGCAACAACACAACCAGCAAACCAAAAGTCAATAGCTGTAGTGTACTCCGTCGATCGAAATATAAGCACAAATGTAAGAGGTATTGGGCTCTCCTTTTACCTGCCAAAAATAAGGAATGAAGCATTTCAACCAAAACACAAAACTAAGAGAGAGGGGAAAAAATTAAAAGACATAAACCAACATGTCAAAACTTTAAAAATTCCAAAATGAAGTTGTTATTTGTAAAAGAGTTAATGAGGTGGTGGGAAAATAGTATATATGAAAGGGCATCATTAGTGATGGAAAAATGTAAAATAATTATAATTACACATGAGGGTTTATAGAACTCTAATAAGTATATAGCATATTAATTAGGACACATGTTAGAGTGTAAATCCTTTGGAAATTAGGCCAAATGTTATAATTTGCATATGGTACACATCTCAAAATGGGCGTAGTAGCATGACCATACATACCACACATAAACCCATATAAACTCTAGTTTGGAATGAATCAATAAATCAAAGACCCCAAAAATAGAAGAACAATAATTTTTTAAAGGCATTTTTCTGTTTTATGTATCTTCATGCTCTTGTAGAAAAAGCAATAAACAACAAAGAAGGGGAGGGGG